CAGTTCACTACCATGTATACATTATATACAGTAAATAAATAATTAAAATATAACAATAGAAGTAAATTATGGTAAAAAAAAAGAAATAATTGTACATTACATTACAGTACTATGTAGGTAGTTTATATAGGAAAAGTTTGACATTATGCCCTACCCAATATGTCGGCAATTTTCAAAGGTTCGACTTACAACCGGTTGGTCGGAACCAAGCTTGGTCGTAAGTCGGATGGTAGGTGTACTTCTAAACTGTTGTATTCTGGGCACCTCTGCAAAAACAGTGATTATGTGTGAGTGAGGTGAAAGTGTTGAATGATGATGAAAGTATTTTCTTTTTGGGGATTTTCTTTCACTTTGGGTCACCCAGCCTTGATGGGAGACGGCCGACTTGTTGAAAAAAAAAAAAAAATTCTCACCCTACATTAAAGACTACAAATATTTTATGGTAAGGTATGTGCATTTTATTGCTCTAGGGCGCTTCAAATGTCGTAATATATTGCATGTGGGTGGGGTGGCCAGGCTGGCTACCATATCTACCACACCTGACTTCTTTCAGTAAATGCTACTCGCCTCTCACCCTACATTAAAACTACAAATATTTTGAGGTAAGAAATGAGTGTACTGTGTATGTATTTTACTTTTTATTGTTTTTTAATGCCTAGTTTTATTGCTAACTTAGTACAGTTGACCCCTTGACTTTCGTGAGCCCTACACTTCGTGAATTTTGACTTTTGGCAACTTATTTCGTCCAAATATAGCCTCGCGCTTCGTGATTTGCCTTGCCATTCATTGGTCGTACGGAACGCATCAGAGCGACCTCCCAGCGTCTGCACATGCTCAAAGGCGCCCCCACCATTCAGAGTTAGTAACGGCGAGTGACCATCACCCCAAGCGTTCTTAAGATACATTACGTAATACGATGGTACCCTGAGTTTCGTAGATAATTCGTTCCAGAAGGCTGTTCAAGTGCTGTTACCGAATGAATTTGTTTCCATAAGGAATGATATAAATTAGATTAGTCCGTTTCAGACCCCCAAATATACATTTACAAAAGCACTTACAATAATATACTTAAATAATTGTTTGAGTTGGGAGCTGTATGAAACTTGGGGTACCACTGTATTCCATTCTTTGTTGTGCTTACAACTGCTAAATAAGCCACCGTGGGCCCAAAGAAAGATCCTAGTGCCAGGCCTTTGGTGAAGGTGAGAAACACAATAGAATTAAACAAAGAAATCATCACAAAATATGAAAGTGGAGTGTGTGTGGCTGACCTCAGCAGGATGTACGGGAAGCCCCATTCAACGATCACTTCCATCGTGGCGAAGAAAAAGGAAATCAAGGAAGCTGTTGTTGTGAAAGGGGTAGATATGCTCACAAAAAAGAGAATGCAAGTAATCGAAGTTGTTGAGAATTTGTTGTTGGTGTGAATCAACCAGAAATACTTAGCAGGAGAGTTTTATGCAGTCGATAATTTATGAAAAGGCAAGGCAGTTGCATGCCGATCTCATAAAGAAAATGCCTGGAACGAGTGCTGATGTTAGTGAATTTAAGGCCAGCAAAGGCTGGTTTGAGAGATTTAAGAAGCGCATTGGCATACACAGTGTAGTAAAGCATGGCGAAGCTGCAAGTTGTGACAAATGTGCGGCTCAAAAATTCGTGCATGAATTCAGTGTGTATGTAGAGGTGTTCAGTTGTGAAGAAACAGGCCTGTTTTTTAAGAAAATGCCACAGAGGACCTACATCATGCAGGAGAAGGCACCGCCAGGACACAAGCCTATGAAAGACAGACTAACTCTCTTGTTCTGTGGTAATGCTAGTGGGGATTTCAAAGTGAATCTGAAAATCCCAGAGTGTTCTAGAAAAACAGTGTCACCAAGAGTAAATTGTGTGTGATGTGGAAGGCTAACAGTAAGGCATGGGTCACAAGGGAAATTTTCCTTGATTGGTTCAATGAAGTGTTTTGCCCAAGTGTGAAGAAATATTTTCTGGGAAATAAATTGCCACTCCAGTGCCTCCTGGTAATGGACAATGCTCCTGCTCATCCTTCAGACTTGGATGACCAAATGGTGGAGGAGTTTAGTTTCATCAAAGTTAAGTTCTTGCCCCCCTAATACCACTCCTCTCATCCAGTTCATAGACCAGCAGATCATTTCAAACTTCAAAAAACTCTACACCAAAGCAGTGTTTCAGAGGTGCTTTGATGCGACCTCAGACACTGAATTGACCCTAAGAGAGTTCTGGAGGGATCACTTCAGTATCCTCAATTGCATATGCCTTATAGATAAGGCTTGGCAGGGAGTGACCTCCCTGACTTTGAACTCTGCTTGGAGAAAATTGTGGCCAGAATGTGTCCTCGACAAGGATTTTGAAGGGTTTGAGGCTGACTCTGTCGACCCTACACCTGTTGTGGCACTGAGGAATTCCATGGGGTTGGATGTGAGTGGCGAGGATGTGGAAGAGTTGGTGGAGGACCTCAATGAAGAGCTAACCACTGAAGAGCTGCAAGAGCTTCATCTGCAACAGCAACAGACCACAGCTGAGGAAATTGCTTCGGAGGAGGAGGAAGACAGATGGAAGAAGGTGCCTTTTTCAGAGATTAAGGAGATTTGTACAATGTGGAGTAGGGTGCAAGCATTTGTGGAGAAACATAACCCTAACAAAGCTGTTGCAAGCCGTGTTGGCAGCATGTACAATGGCAATGCCATGTCCCATTTTAGGCAAATTTTAATGAGACCTCAGGAAAAGAGCTCTCTGAACAGTTTTTTTGTGCGACAGGGGTCCAGTGACTCAAGCTGGCCCTAGTGGCATTAAAAAACAAAGAAGGGAATAACCCCGGATAAAGACTTAGTACCTAAAGTCCTTATAGAAGGGGTTCCCCTTCCAAACAATAATGTAGCTACTCCATCCTCTCTCCTCCTCCCGTCTTCCATACTCCAACAAGAGTCTTCAGTAAAGGTAAGTGTGATGTTATAAGTGTTTTATACTTGATTTCTCATTTTTTTCTGTATGTAAATCTATATTTATTCTATAAAAAAAATAATTTTTGTTAATACTTTTGGGTGTCTGGAACGAATTAATTGGGTTTACATTATTTCTTTTGGGGAAGATGGTTTTGCAGTTTGTGAAACAAAAGTTCGCAGTTTTGTTAATGAAACAAAAGTTTATCTTTTTAACTTCAGTAATGTGTACAGGAGAAAGGGTTACTAATCCCTTGCTTCCGGCATTTTAGTTGCCTCTTACAGCACGCATGGCTTACAGAGGAAGAATGGAGTAAATAAACAAGAACAAAAAATAGTAATAAAATAGAAGAAAACCCAGAGGCGTGTGTATATATATACTTGTACATGTACGTGTAGTGTGACCTAAGTGTAAGGAGAAGTAGCAAGATGTACCTGAAATCTTGCATGTTTATGAGACCGAAAAAAAGACACCAACAATCCTTCCATTATGTAAAACAATTACAGGTTTCTGTTTTACACTCACTTGGCAGGACGGTAGTACCTCCCTGGGTGGTTGCTGTCTACCAACCTACTACCTAGGCTTAAGGTACATAATGTACAATATTTTTTACAATTGTTTTGAGGACACACATGTTATATGCAGATAAATGAACATCATGTAGATATAACCTAGGGCAACCTAATATAGTTAAACATTGATTTATTTGTGGTCAGAAGAAACATTCTCTAGTTATTTCACAGAAACCAGCTTGATTAACAAAACTGGCACGTTAAGAAGCACACAAGTTCCCCCGTCTTCTAATAACATGTTCATTTTTCCGCTATAATCTACCTTGCCCATAATTACTATCACATTTGGTTTGTCTGTTTTGCAAAGTGAAGTCCAGGATCTTTCTTTAATTCATGGTATAACAACAAATCTTTGAGGACAATAAATTTAAGTTATAACATGAATTAAAGAAAGATCCTAGACTTCGCCTTACGAATTAGACATAGCAAATGCAATGGTAATTATGTACAAGGTAAATTATAGTGGAAAAATGAACATGTTATTAGAAGACAGGTGTACTTAGGTGCCTCTTAACAATCTCCAGTTATGGTAGAGAATTAAATAAAAATTTCCTTTACACAACCTAAAGCCAACAAATATTTCTTGTATTTCATAAGAGCAGTCAGCCATTAGAGATTGATGCTGTGATAGTAAACAACTGACTGATTGACACTTTATTTTTTTGCTGTCTTCCAGCAAGGTAGGACGGCCTAAAAATAAAGGAAACACATTTACCATCCTTCATTCAATATCTGTCTTGCCAGAAGTATGTAGACATGACAGGTCAAATAACCCTCCACTGCAACATTCTTTCCACTCCAGAGTGCAGGTACTGCACTTCCCACCTCAAGTTTCCCTGAGTCCCTTCATAAATGTTACCTTCCTCCCACTCCAACAGTATGTCAAATCCTAAAACATGTATCTTTACTCACTCCAGTATAACATGTTTACACATGGCTGTTGGATACTGAAGGCTCTAGCACTGGAAGCTTGCACACCCTCACTCCGGCCCTTCCAGAGCAGTAAACAAAGTTTAAAGTTTCCTTTGTTTTAACAGTTTACTTGTTTATATATTATTGTGCTCATATATGTCTTTATAATTTTGTACACAATAAATTTGCAAGTATTTGTCGTGTCTTGATATGCTCTTGCCACCCACTTAACATTGCTGGGTTAGAGCATCATGTGATAAATTATATCTGTTGCTTGGGTTTGTTACTAGCTCACTAGTCATGTGAAGTCTCAAGCCTGGAGAAAAGTTCTTGACATCAATACTATTTCTATATTTTAGGAATGTGTATCAGTATATGAAAATGAAGTATGATATGAAGATGTCACTTCTCTGAGCATGCTGTTTTCAGGGAAGAAAATGACTTCCTTCACATAAGAATATGAAGACTTGTCCTCAGTCAACTGGAGGATTTTTTCCTCATAGATATGAGATTTAATCAATTTTGGTACATTTTAATGGTGTTGTTCTTCTTAACTAGGTATACACAGCCACCTGCAGATCTTTGGGACTGGTTTGAGCCTTACATGGATGATGAGGAGGTAAGTGTCGTCACCATCACCACTCCCGACCCCACTCCGGCTTCCCAGCCCTCTCCTTCCTTCCTTCCTTCCTTCCTTTCTCCTCTCTCCTCCTAATATTCATATCATGTATATCATTTCATGCACTCAAAATGTAGGTGTTTATGAAGAATCTTCCTTTGTAAGTTTTTTGCCATGCACAGTTTTCACAACTCTGTGTTAAGAGACACACTGAGCTGAAAAACAATCAGGATTTCTCTAAGTTTATTTTGGTAAACCCATAATTAAGCTAGTCAACTTTTATAGTAGAAACCAGAATGTAACTTTATAAATTGTCAAATCACATACCATCTTAAAAAAGATGGAAAATGAAAATGTTATTAATGAATATTAGCATAGAGCTTGTGAGCTGGCAGTAGAGCAGAAAGTGTAGTTGAAGTATAAAGTTGTTAGAGCAAAGAACCTGCAGTGTGTGTCAACACACTTGTTACTGCCAGTCTCTCTCTCTCTCTCTCTCTCTCTCTCTCTCTCTCTCTCTCTCTCTCTCTCTCTCTCTCTCTCTCTCTCTCTCTCTCTCTCTCTCTCTCTCTCTCTCTCTCTCTCTCTCTCTCTCTCTCTCACTCTCTCACTCTCTCACTCTCACTCTCACTCTCTCTCACTCTCTCTCACTCTCACTCTCTCTCACTCTCACTCTCACTCTCTCTCTCACTCTCACTCTCTCTCTCTCTCTCTCACTCTCTCTCACTCTCTCTCACTCTCTCTCTCACTCTCTCTCACTCTCTCTCACTCTCACTCTCTCTCACTCTCACTCTCACTCTCTCACTCTCTCCATGGGTGATCAAGACCACTCTAGTAAACAATTTTGACACATTCTGTAGTACAGTACTATATTATAGTTTGCCCTTTCCATTAAAAAGTATTAGTCATTTGTGATCATTTTTAGCTGTGTACGTGTTTGCATTAGTAGCTCCTTTATAAAATGGTTTCCCATGAATAATCATCTAAAAGTATTAATGTGAATGTCAAGGTTACAGTTATCCACACATACATGAACATATTTAAAAGATATAATGTTGGGAAAATATTTTTTTTATGAATGTAACAAAATATTGTTAGGCACAAAAGAAAACCACTAGTACACAATGCATTTCAGGCAAACTAATCTTAATGCTTAAATGCTACTTAGGAATTAGACATAGACTGTTAAGTAGGATTTCTTAAGCAGTTAACCACAGTTATATGTACAATGTGAAAGGAAGTTAATGAACAAGTGGTACAGTTTTAAAAATATCACTTTTATATCAAAGTAATTCAATGATCTTCAGTTAACAATTTATTTTAAGCAGAAACAGTGAGAATACAACACAAGAGTTAGGGTTTCCATGTATACACTACCACTATATACATCCAACATAGTTTTGGCACACAACATTCTTCCGGTTATATGTTTACTCATTACCTCCACATACTCAGTATTAACAAGTTTGAAATTGTGTATACCTGTTCACAGGCATATATCTGGTATTTACTTTGTCACCCCTTCGTAGATGACAGCCAGATTATGTGGCGTTACTTTTCACATTGTCTCTCACTCAGTCTTTTGAGTGACTGCGTGTGTGATTGACAGATGCTTGTTACAAGTGCATTATGTGGGCGGGGGGTGGGGGGGTTGTGTGCATACGTATTTGTGTACGTAAATACACACACTCGTCTAATTGTGGTTGCAGGGGTTGAGCCTCAGCTCCTGGTCCTGCATCTTTGCTGGCTGCTACTGGTTTTACTCCTGGCTGCATAACCTCTATCATATGAACCTAATGTATGAATATTGTCTCTTACTACTTACGTGCCTTGATGCTGATGAGGGGCTCTCGATCTAGGGAATTGGATCTGTGCTCTGGTTCCCTGAATACCTTCCTTCACCCTCCCCCCCACCCCACATGTGCTCTATAATTCTATGGGTTTAGCTCTCCCTTATAATTATAATAATAATATCTAGATAATTTCATTTCCTGACCAATCTAAGGCTAGAGAAGTATTTCCTAACACATCCGTGACTTTCTTGCACTTTTGGCTAAAACAGACCCTACCTGTCCACTCTGTCAATTCCTTTTGGGTATTTTGTATGTCATAATCATGTCACCACTGTTCTCTTTGTCCTCTAATGTCATCCACTTTTGCTCTTCTAACATCTCATGGTTCATACTCTTCAGTTTTGGGACTAGTTTTGTTCCAAACCTTTGCATTTTTTCAAGCTTCTTTACATGTTTATCTGGATATGGATTGCATAGTGGTGTTACATATTCCAGGATGACATGACATATGACAAGGTTGTGAATGCCTTCAAAATTGCCAGTCTCACATTTGCTGCAGCATTGATTCAATTGATGTTGGCCTCAGGGGAAATGCTCAGAACTATACTCATCTTGAAATTATTCTCTTTCAAAGAGGTTTGCAGACTTTGTACCCTGAGGCTGTATGCTGTTTATAGATGTATTTGCCCTTCTCTGATTTTCATAACTTTACATTTGGTTAAATTCCAGTAGCTATTTGTCAGACCAATCATCTAGCTTGTCTAGATCTATTTGTCAGACCAATCATCTAGCTTGTCTAGATCTATTTGTCAGACCAATCATCTAGCTTGTCTAGATCTATTTGTCAGACCAATCATCTAGCTTGTCTAGATCTATTTGTCAGACCAATCATCTAGCTTGTCTAGATCTATTTGTCAGACCAATCATCTAGCTTGTCTAGATCTATTTGTCAGACCAATCATCTAGCTTGTCTAGATCTATTTGTAGTGTTTCCTGATCTACTCCTGTTTGTATTTCCCTCATTAATTTCACCTCATCAGTCAAGAGGGAGATCTCTGACTCATGTGTGTGCGTGCATGAGTACTCACCTGTTTGTGGCCGCAGGGGTCGAGTCTTAGCTCCTGGCCCTGGTGTGTGTGGGGAGGTGGGAGTGCATGAGTGTTTATGTGCATGTGTGTTCACTAATTTTGGATGCAGGGGATGAGTCTTAGCTCCTGGTTCTGCCTCTCAACTTGCCGTTTTCTATATTACTCTCTCTGGCTGCCTTGTTTGCCCTATTGTACCTGCTCTTATAGCTATGTATGAAGCCTGCCTCCACCACTTCTTCACCAAGATCATTCCACTTTCCAACCACCCTGAAACTGAAGAAATACTTCCTGACATCTCTAACACACATTAACTTCCAGCTTTGTCTTTGAGTTTCCATTTCTTGCCTCTCAAACAGCTTGTCCCTGTATACAATTCTCCTGAGTATTTTTTATGTTATATATCCCCTGGTTCTTCTCTCCTTTAACCCTTTGACTGTTTTGGTCATATATATATATACGTCTTACGAGCCACCGTTTTTGACGTATAAATTCTAGCGGCTTCAAATCAAGCAGGAGAAAACTGGTAGGCCCACATGTGAGAGAATGGGTCTGTGTGGTCAGTGTGCACCATATAAAAAATCCTGCAGCACGCAGTGCATAATGAGAAAAAAAGAACTCTGACCATTTTTTTAATTAAAATGCCAACTTTGTGGTCTATTTTTGTATAGTATTTATGGTTGTATTCTCATTTTCTTGGTCTCATTTGATAGAATGGAAAACATATTATAGAAATAGAGGTGATTTTGATTGGTTTTACTATGAAAAGAACCTGGAAATGGAGCTCAAAGTAGGGGAAATGTTTGATTTTTGCTGGTGTTCAGAAGTAAACAATAAATATCCAAGTAGCCATTCTAATATCCAGTCATGAATGAGTTGACATTATTTATACAATTATTACAATATTGCAGTAGTCTGCATAACAGTAAATCTTCTATTTTTTGTTTGAATAAAAATTCAAAATAGAAAGCAAGAGGGGCCTAGAGACATGACTGATGAACAAAGAAAATGTTATTTTAGAGCCAGGAATGTCTGCATTGTTCATTCTGGAACCTATTTTGAAATTGTCATATTTTTTAATTTTCATGAAATTGGCCAAATTGCAAATTTTTGACCACGTTATTGGGTAGTTAAAATCAGTAAATGGACAGTTTCTTGTACTCAATCGATAGAAAAAATTGAGTTATAAAGAAATAGCTATGAGTTTAGTTGACTGGAACAATGGAATTAGCCGAAAATAGGACTCAAAGTGGGCAAAAGCGCCGATTCGTAAATATCTCCGAGGTCACTAACGTAGCGAGAGCATATTTCCGTCAGTTTTCCATCAAATTTTGTTCTTTTGGTGTCATTACAATCGGGAAATGATTCTCTATCATTTCATAAGATTTTTTTTTTTTTTTTTTTTTTTGACACCAGGAGACATCTCAGGATTTGGGGTTGTGACAGTCAAGGGGTTAATGTCATTAGATTGAATTCCATTAACCTCTTCTCATAGCTCATCTTCCTTAAATGAGGGACAAGCCATGTTGCATCTGCATTTTCTTCAGTTTCTTAACATTCTTCTTCAAGTGTGAATTCCATACTGGTGTTGTATACCCCAAAATGAGCCCGACATATGTTTTATTAAGTGCCTGGAAAGTCTCTTGTTGAGATTCCTGAAGGCCTCTCTTAGATTTGGTAGATGAGTATTGGCTGTAATTTGGATAATGTTAACCTTTGGTGAAATGCTTGGCACTATGCTCACCCCTAGTTCTTTCACTTTGAGTGACGTCTGCAACCTCTGTCTCCTGATACTGTACACCAACCCCTCACCAAGATGGGTGAAGGGTTGGTGTTAATGTTTTGGGGAAGTAGAGGGTGGCTCAGAGTTGGGCCAGCCAGGGTAGGAGTTTGGGTTGTGTCTGAAGGACATACGTGAGTCTAGGTGCTCCCCATGTTTGCTCCTTGTCTTCTGCTCTTCTCTGTGCTTGATGGGATTTTATATACCCCTCAGCTGTTTTCTTTACATCGCCATCCTGTCCTGATCCAGATATGTATATATGATTGTAGTGTCGTATGGTCTTCAACCATGCTTTGTCGTAATGCCTTGTCCTGACCTACGTGATGTAAGAGAACCTTTCTGTTT